ATAATATATATAATATAATATATATAGTATACTATATATATACATATGATACAATATATACATACAATAATAATATATATAATATAATATATATAATATATATATAATATAATATAATATATATAATACTATATATACATACGATACAATATATACATACAATAATAATATATATAATATAATATATATAGGGTACTATATATATATATACATATGATACAATATATATATACAATAATAATATATATAAAGTAATATATATAGTGTACTATATATACACATATGGTACACTATGGTATATCTATTGTTGCGCTCTATGCATTATTTATGTCCATTGTATTCGCGGCGCATTGCATCGTACATACCGATGCACGCTATATAAGTGAGTTCGCACTATACAAATAATTTTGAACAGATTCAAACCCCTCCTTCGGGGCGCCTCGTCGATTTTTCTTTTCCCCTTTTCACTTCGCTCTTTCCTCGTTTTATCGACCGTTATCACGCGGGGAAACGATCGGAGAATATATTGGGGGAGCGTTGACACGGTTGGAAAGGCGTTCCTCGGGCGCCTCCCCGTCCCATCGTCTCTGAACGGAGATCGGAGATTGTTGTTTGTCTTGCAGCATAGATCCGAGCTCTCAGCCAGCGGGGCAGCAAATTCCCATAGGGAACACGCGATCGTTGCCCGACCTGGCCCATTTCCAGTCGGATCAAGAGGATCACTCGAGCAGCACGCCGTTCAGCAACGTAAGTCCCTCCTATTAATCTTAACCCCCCTTTCTATCCAGTTCGAATTATTTCTCCCAATCACAATGTTTCGTGTTTTTCACGTTCGTTCGAGATATTTTTAAATCTCCGTGACAGTTTCGAGAGTTTTAAAAATTTAAGAAATTTTTGAAGAAATGAAAATATTACTCCCGCTTTTTATTCTTTCTGATGAAGTCACCCCCTCGTCGTCGACGAGGAGGAGGCTATGTGGAACCGTTTTATTGAAATGATCCCACTGCTGGTGTATTCCAGAGCCGTGAAACGAGCAGTCCCACAAACCTGTCGCCAACCAGCTTGCCCCAAGCTGGAAGGCTATCCTTTTCGCAGGATCAGACCAGCGCCCAAGTAAATATCCTCCCGTTATCCCGTACGGTAGTTTCTCTTAGGGCTGTTAGAGAGTGTTGTTGCATCTGAACTGCGCTCGAGTCGACCGTGCCTTTCCCAATCTCGAGTCTCCCTCGAGTCTCCAATTTCTTTTTTTCGAAGAATAAACGGAGGAGGAGGAGGAGGAGGAGGCACGGTGTTCTCGGCCTAGGATTAGAGATCGGTCTTATGGAATCGAGGCATCTTTTATCCTTATTTACGACTCAGAGATTTGGATAAAACGATGGAAAGATGCCTTGGACCATCTTGCACGATTATTCCACGATCTTGTTCGAGAGTTTAAAAATTTAAATTTTGGTGAAACTTCCTATTTCAAAAAATTTTCTTTCCTCCGTGTAATTCATTTTTATGGATTTTTTTTTTGATGGAAATTTTAGATAATTTTTCAATCTGATCGTGCAAGAGAATTCTCCATAAAGCTGTAGCTGGCTCGTAAGAAAAGGAGAGTAACGGCTGTACAATGCGTAGTGTTGCATGGAAAAAGAAGAAGGAAAAAAAAAAAAGAAAGAAAAGGAAAGATGTTTCTGTGCTTTTCTGCGCTTCGATAACCATCACTTTCGAGTACGTCACGATATAAATGTAAATAAAATCGAGCAAAATCGGTCGGTCGAGGATTCGATTTCGATATTCGCGGATTTCATCGACGGAGATAAAAAGAGAGAATTTAAAATTTTCGTGTTGTTATCCTCCTCGTGAATGGAGGAGCAATCTCGGCCACGGTTTCTCAATCGTTATCCAGATTAGCCTGAATATCGATTTCTGTCCAACGTGGTGAAATCGTGGCCGAACAACACGTTTCGTTCACATTCGCGTATCGCATCCACTTCTTTTCACCACGAAATCTCGAGTCTTTCCATCCCATTCGTTCGAAGAAATGAATATCGTCTCCCGAATTCGAGCATCCTGTTACGCTTGGCGGGGCCACCTTCTTTTTAATTTCACTTTTTATTTTTATTTTGCCTTTGTTGTAGTGTTCGTTTGTGTTTGTTATTTTGCAGAACCATTTATCAGTGCCTGTTAACTCTAGGTTTCTTCACACGTGTAAGGTTAGCGGTAATTTGTTTTTTTGTTTTTGCGCTTATTATAACGTCGCGATATTACGATTTTTTCCCCCCCTCTATTAATTGTTTCTCTTAATATTAATTTAGTTACGCTTATTATAATAGTGCCCGGTGCTTGCAAACTGATAGAATCGAATAGAATTCGTCGCGATTTAAAAGTCACGGGTTACCGCGATTCATCGTTCGTGTCAATAGTGAAAAGTTAAATGAAAGAAAAAAAATAGAATATATATCGACACGATCGTTTTTCTTCCAAAAAAGAAAAAAAAAAAACGGACGAATTCTCGAACGAATTCAAACGAAGATCGAATCGAGAGGTTCCGAGAAACCGGATCGAATCGTTGCCCGAATTATTTACGTCCACCCACGACTTTGAAATTCCATACGAAAGGGTAAAATTATCGAGGAGGTAAAATTAATCCGATATCTCGTTGCAACGAGGATTAACGAGGAAAATGGAGTCGTTTGAGTTCGATCAATCGTCCGTTAAAGAGAAAGTTCGTTAACGAGGAAGGGAAAGATAAAAATGTCGGACGATCGCGGTGGAACGCGTGGCTTTGAATCGGCGCGGAGATCGATGTTTCGGAGCCGGCCGGCCGAGTCAGTGTTGCCGGCTCGGGGATGCGAACGATGCGAAAAAACGATAGGCGAGCGATCGTTAATAACGGTGATGCCTGTGGAACAGGGTGTGGCGTTGGAAAACAGCACAAGTACTTCGCAACAGGATCTTCAGAGCTACTCGCAACAACCACCGATGGCCCAGCCACCGACGGCGACCACCCACAGCCCGGCTGGCCACCACTACATTTATCCGCACAGTCCTGTGCCACCGCAAAGTCCAGTTAGTTGCGTCATACATTTCTTTTGAAACTTTGCCTATTCGAGATTTTAATTCCGAGTCCCTTCTTTCGAAGGAAAAATCCTTTCGATTCGCGAAATATTGAAAATTTACCATTTCTTATATATCCGTACATATATTCGTTTTCTTTTGTTCGCAGAAGTCGACAACGCAAACGCAGCAACCGCAGCTCAACTCGTTGGGCTCGTACAGGTCCTCGCAGCAGGTGAACAGGCCGTCGCCGCAGTCGTCGCCCGGGCTAACGATTCAAGTAAGCGCGATGGGAGGGGGGAAGGAAGTACTCGCACGTGAAATAAAAATAATCCTTGACCGATCGTCTTTTTTTCGGGATCGATCGCAGGGGAGCCCGTTGAGCTACAGCAATAATCCATCGGCGCCTCCCAGCCCCACGGGTCATCCAGGTCCACCGAACTTGACGTCGGAGAGCATCGACCAAAACAGTTATTTTATGAACCAGGCACAAGCGGCGGCGCTTCAACAGGATTTCGAGCAGTTCACGATGGTTAGTAGTTAGAACGCGTGCCCGTTTCTCGTTATCTCGACTTATCTAGTTTCCCTTGGCAACGAGCCAACGCGAATTCGAATTCGAGCAATCGAACGGGAAAAAAAGAAGAATCCAATCGCTCGAGTCGAATATCTTCCAACACCCTTGAGAAGAATAATCCAAAGTATTTCGTTATTATCCCCTTTCCTTCCCCCTCCTCCCCGTTCGAAATTTTCC